GGAAAATGAACTTGCAAGTATTTGTAAAGTGTAACAAAGTAATAAACCAGAAACGCACTTGAAACAAAAACACTACATTTTTTGCAAATGTCTTCTTCCGGTTTGTTAAAATGGAAACGCTGGTTGTACTTCCGGTCAATGACAATCAAACTAGTCTAATTGATGTAATGATAATACATGTACATCGACGCTTATTTAATAAGTTACCTTAATTAAGAAGTTCCGTACTTACGCCAGTCAGTATTTGACTATAAAAGCAAACATTCCAAAATTACATCTTATCTAAAGTAGACATTCAAAACTTATTTCCATAAAAGTAATGATAGACACTTAAGTACACTATGGAATTAAGTAATAATGCGATAAAAACAATATACAAACACAATGATAGGGCTATGAGTGAAGTTCCAACAAGTGAAGGGAGATTAAACCATTCAGAGAGTCTCCGACATTCTGTACCGGACAACCCTGTAATTCTACAGCCCCCTGTCAAACAGCATTGATATCTGGCAATGATAACATTTGTATAAACTCTGTCCATCAAAACTTTTTATTGACTACTTTTATCCCTGTGAATATCGTGAGGAAATCCTGTGTAACTAGTCCTCTAGTATAAACAGATAAAGACAAGGGTCGCCAGCTGTGAAAATTCTAAAGCTTTCGATACTCATATGAACAAAAACGACTGGACAAATCTTGTCATAGCACCGCTTTTGACAATGTCTGTCAAACTGAAGAATTACTAACTCATTCATAATATCACAAATTGATTTCAACGGCGATGAACGGCATTTTCAAAGGCATTGGAAAAAATGGGAAACAGTACGGAATCGGATGAATAGGCAGTCAGAGGCTCGCGTGACTTACTTAACTCGTTTGATTTGATGCAAAAACTCGTTTGGTTTAATGCAAAAGTTCAACGAATTGCTAAAAGCTTCTATTTTATTTAATGAAATAAGCAACAATGTATAATCACATACAATTACATGATTCTAAATATGATTATTTATATATCAGATAATACTTTTCGGTCCTTTTTAGAGAACTTAGTGTTACAGCTTTCATGACACGCAAAACAATAAGCGTAAGTGAATGGTATAATATAAAAGAATGTCATATTCAAGTAGCCGCTTATTTAAAAGTAATCGTGAACAAAACAAAGCATATACGAAAAAGTTATTCTACAATGAAGTTACCGCATTAACCAGCGACTGAAACTGATTTTTTAAAGATAACTCTCCTATCAAAAAGAGAATATGTAAATAGTCGCATATATTCAATTAAGAGAGGCGTTTATAACAATGGTGAATGGTTCGTTGATCAAAGTGATGAGATATGATCTATATACAGTCAATGTTCTGATACACGTAAAATACATGCATGATTTATAACATGAATGGTTTTCTCGTGCAACATAAATTGTTCAGGGAATATTAAAGATATTTTTAGGATAAGGTACTTGCTATTTCCTGTGTGGTGAATGTTGGCGTGTTTTGTGATTTGCGGTGAATACTGCTTACTTATTTAGCAATTGAAAGTTTCAAATTAATTCAGTATTGATTAAGTACTCTTTTTTGTTTCGTACAATCCAACATGTCAATATTTGCATCATTGTGTATTGGCATTTTGATTGTTTGATATTGTGCATGCTGTTAAAGAGTTATGCCTTTAAAATAAATCCTTGAATTCATGAATGATATAAATATACTTATATATGAGGTGTGTTTCATTTCAGATAACGCTTTCTTCTCCTTCATTATATGGTTTATATGTTAATATGTTTTATATGTAAATAACATCTTCGTTTTCTCTGAAAATAGTGTGAAATATTAGTGTAGTTTAGCTTTTAGCGCATGCCACAGTGGGCCCCTTTGCCATTACCGCGCTATAATGACGTATTCTTTGATCCAATCAATGTGATATTACAGTGGCAGTGAATTATATCATTGTGGCAGTGAATGATATCAGAGTGGCATTGAATGAAATCACAGTGGCAGTGAATGATATCACAGTGGCAGTCATATCATAGTGGCAATGTTAATGTCATTAAATTATTAATTGTACCAAATGTTTGTAAATTCTAATTACAGCTCCTTTGCAAGCGGCCATTTTGTTTTCAATTTTGAATTTACAGTCTTTTCTTAATAAATTGTATAACTTCTGTAATACTTTAATATAATCTGTTATTGCATTCGTGTCGTTTTTTTAGCAATTTTTCTATATTCTACATTTAAATATTTTATTCAAAGTAAGAGGAAACTTCGCAATCTCATATAAATAGTGTAATTTAATCGTCACGTTGAAGTGGAAAACTTAATTACGATCACCATTATATGTCAATTATGCGGGTTGAATACGAGTTTAACAAAAAGAAACATCAAATGTACTTGGCGACTTGATGTCACGGTAGAAATATTGTTTTCATCCGTGAGATATTCCATCAAGTTTGTTGTTTGTTATTGAACTTGTGGTAGAAAAGAATCTTGCTTGGTACGGTTTGGACGTGACTTTAGACAAGGCGAATAGAATTTTAATCTTCTCTTGTAAAGGACTTCCATGTATCATGTGCAGAAAATCTCAGAAAACAAGATTAAATTTTAAGAAATACATCTATGTCATGGTCATATGTCCTTTTTAAAAATAAGAAATATAAATAAACAGTCATTGAAATGAAAAGAAAAATGATGTTCATCTGGATGTACCTAGTCACACTATTCTTCTGTTTACTTTTCCCCTATTTTTTCAGTATATAAAGAAAATATTCTATTAATATCAATGTAAAGTGATTTCAAGTTATGTAGGCTTATTTATCTATTTCCTTCGTTGAATAACAGATACATTTATATATCGAAGAACAGTTAATATAAACATTAATATAAACAATCAACATATAGCCAATTATACAATCACTCAAGCAAATCAGGTGTATGTACACATGTACTGTTTGCAGAAAGTAATTGTTCAAAAGTATTTGATGTATGGCAATTACTTTAAGAAATTCCCTTCCGAGCATCCCTAGACGAAAACGATCTAACAGTAGCTGAACTTTGGCAGATCGTTAAATATTTTTACTTAAAAAAATAACATTTTTTATTATCCTATGACTCAGAATTGACTGTGACTTTGGCAAAAGTGACTCCAGATATAGCTAGATACCGCTACTTAAGCTCAAATTATAAAGACAAATATTGTTACGTCATCAAATGAACCAGACAAGTTTAAATATGTGTATCCACTAGTTGTAATATTCGCACCTTTAAACTATAATAACTCCGGTAAATGACGTATAAATTATACTTAATACTGAAAATTGTCAATAAAACGCCGACTAAAGCCATAAATATCACTATCTAGTAAAGATGAAATGCAGTGAAACTAAATTTACCCCCATAAAACATTTAACCAAAAAAAAGTCTCCATCTTGATGACTTATCAACTTAAATATCTTGGATAGAAAAAAACCTTTGATTTTCTGTGTAATATTTTCAAAATATTTCAATCGTTCTTGTAAGGTAAACAGATGGTTTACAATAGGCCGGAAATGGTGAAGAAAAGACCAAAAAAGGAGGTTTTATAACATGAATTATTATGTCCTATTGAATGTTTGCTGACATTTATGATGATACATGTGTACTCAATTACAGTGTACTAATCTATTAGTAATTAAACCAGCGGGTTTCGTGACAACCATGGTAAACATACAGGACAATTTGCGGTTTGTATTCCTTCTCAATTTCAGCCAGGTCAAGAAAGGGCCCATTATTTTATGAGAGGGCGTTGGTTTTAGCTGCTGACCAGTATATCCGTTTGGATTTCGACACTCTCAGAGCGCAACCAAATTTCAAGTTAACATGCAAGGTTCGGTAAATTTTTTAAAGAAAAATTAAATGAATATGTCAAAAATCTGAAATTTATTACTTTTTTTTAAGGTAAAAGAGATTCGGACAGTCAGCCGGATTCGATATTGAGTTATTTTAGGTATTACACTTTTAGTTTTACAAACACACAATAAATAACCTGAAGAATGAATCAATATAGTAAAATACGAAAAGTCCCAACGTCTTCGTTGCTTTTAGAAAAGGAAACATAGATATTGTTTCTGACTGCATAAATTGAACACTTTTAAGAAAACTTCCTGATAGAAATGTAACAGTAATCAAATAATCAAAGTAAGAAAGCAATAAATAGACCAATATGAGTTAACCAATGCTCGTACAAAGAATAGAAAAAAATCCATTTTGCCAATCAAACCTACCAGACAATATTCTACAAAGTATTGGCAGTTGGAGCTTTACAAAACGAACAAGTAGACAACGTCATAGGGTCATTCTTTTATTCCATAAAATTCAAGGAAACAAAAATGATTCAAATCGATCCGATCAATTGCAGGAACAATTAAGCTCCTAGAAGCATTCTATATATGCTTGGAAATTGTAACCTATTGCAATACCACTCGAATTACATGGAATGTGAAAAGATAAATCGATGGTTAATGACATTTTCAATAGATAGTCTGTAATGAATCGAAGTTAGATCCGCACTTAAAGTGGGAGAAAACAGAACTTCAAGAAACGGGATAATGATAATACCGCATTAAGATGTTGAATATATGATACCAAATGCTGTCTTTTGGGAACATGTCAAAGGTCAACAAACAAGACTTTGACAATGCAAATCTACACCTTACACCGTGCCTAACATGTAGTCTTCGTGTTTGTAACTTAAGTAATACATGTATCTGTATAAGAACAGATATGAAATGTTTAACCGAGTGTAAAAATACATGTGGTGAAACTAAAATATCACAATCTCCTAAATGGTGTACCTTTCCAGACGGGCGATGTCATAAATATACTTTATATCATTGCTTAGAGATCGCGTGCTATTCTGACACCAGAGCGTAAATAGGGTAAACGGGGATAAAGCTATTGGGTCCTGAACACCTGGTGTCATAATACATGACTTTGTTACGTACATTTGAATGGATTGTAATAACCTACCTAAATCTACATTATCGAGGTTATAGAACAAATCTTGCATCACACCATTCCAGTCTGTGTGCTGCTTTTCTCTGGAAGACTCTCGTGTGTGCACCCGGGGATTGAACACGGACATATCCGTCCCCAGGCTCCCACCTGGACCCGGCACAAACGCACTCACATTGTTTATTTCCGCGAATATATCTGTATGTGGAGGAGTTTTGTCCGACCTTGAACTACTTCTACCCCTGGTAAACCCATTGGTGGTATCCACGTGATTTATGGAGGCTTTGACGTCAAAGTCTCCTTGTTTGTGGTTCGTACAGAAACATGATGATGAATGTAAAACCGGTGCTGTCTCATACTCAATGGAACGCCCATTCTGATAGATATTATTTTCCATGACGTTTTTCTTATGGAATTGGTCGGAATTTGCATGTCGCTCTCTTTAAATTCAACCAAAGCATCATCATGACTCCATACGAGCTTGTTCGTAACGTTAATGTATGTTTAACAATCTAAGTAAAATAATCTACTCAAACCAACCAACAATGAGTCAGCTAGACCCAGTCTTAATTTCCGAATTAAAAACGAAACTTTTTCATGTTTTAATAAACCATAATATCGACTTTAAACCAGTCAAAGTTTAGTACTGGTCAGATTAAACTTTTAGTAAACTATTCACACAGTTATCAGTTGATTGTATCATAACAATACATAAATGATCTCATACTATCTTTATTCACGTCATTAGGTTCCTGTCATTAAACTATGAAGTGTTCTATAGATTCGTTTTTTGAATTATTTACACAAAGGTGTGTATTTGCCTTTTCTCGTATTCCCGGCTTATCACTGAATATTGTTATTTCTTTCTGTATCGATTTTAAGGACTTGTGTTTAATACAGTCGATTAAAACATGCCAATTTATCAAGATAAGACTTAGATTAGACCCATAATGAATCTTCTCTCAACTTAGATAACAAAAATAACAAAACAGTTGGGGTTTCCGCTCTTTCTCTAAAACTACATAAAATATTCATAACATTTAATTAACACAGACACCGGTTACTTATTAAAACGCAGACGACATCTCTAACACAATTTTATAATTATCTTCCGCACACTTTTGATTTGATAAACTCCAAGAAAGACTGTCTCGAATCTCTTAATCACGACACTCACTTTAAATTGATTAGTTCCCTTATAAGTAATATACGTTGAACAATTGACACTGACAAAAATCTACATGTTACACAATAATACCGAACTGACTCAAAATCCAGTATCTTTATTAAACGATTAAATCGAAAGCGTTCAACTTGAAACATAGGACATGTAAATACATCCGTAAATTAAATGCACACCTGTCATTCCCGGTGCTCTACTGTCAATAATAAAACGGTAATACATGAAACTGCGTGCATGCTTGCGTATTATGGCTTATACTGTCACGTGGTTAGGAAAACCGATATGATTTTATTGATGCAGTGAAAGAAACTGTGACGGATAAAAAAGCATCAAAAGAAATAAAAGATGTGTATTAAAATACCTTAAACTTAATAGCTTAAGATCGGATGAAAAGAGTTTTGTTAAATGTTTAATGTTTCGCCCAAAAAGAGTACCGTATGCACTAACGGGAATATTACATAGTTTTAACGATCGGATTCTCCTTTATGATTTAGACGTAAACATGTGTATACAAAGATTATCAGAATATCCCAAATAAGACGAAAAAATATACAGCCATTTATGGCCAAAATGAAGGTGAAAACTAACGAACGTTGGATATATCTATTGTCAAAGAAGTCTCACACTGTCTTTAATGGATTTTTTTAAAATTCTTCTTACAATTATATTTCAGTGATTTACTTTCATTGATATAAAAATTATCATTCAGTGGTATTGTTATCATGTTATCATACATATCATACAATTTATATCAAATTATCATTAGTATAACATGATTGTATAGAATAGGAACGTAAGTTCATTTTCTTATTGTAAATGCACAGGTCTGTTCTGTTCTGTTCTGTTCTGCTCTTTGTATAAGTCGGTTTCATTATTTATCAAATTATCATAAATAATTATTAAGATAATCCCCATTAATGCGTTCATGAAATATTTTAACATTTTCAGCATCATTACACTATCGATGTTGTTGTTGCTGATGTTGTTGTGTTGTTGTTGTTATTATTATTATTGTTGTTGTTGTTGATGATTATAGTGATGATAGTGATGATGATGTTGTTGTTGCTTTTATTATTGTTGTTGTTGTTGTTGTTGTTGCTGCTGCTGCTGCTGCTGCTATGTTGTTGTTGTTGTTGTTGCTGATGATGGCGATGATGATGTTGTTGTTGTTGTTGCTGCTGCTGCTGTGTTGTTGTTAGTGTTGGTGTTGTTGTTGGTGGTGGTGATGGTGCTGGTGCTGCTGCTGCTGCTGCTTATATGGAGTTACCAATGATAGGAACACAACTACACCAGCAAAAGCACATTAACTACATTATCATATATCAAAATGCCTACAGCAAACATGACTAGATTTTATAATTACATTATGATTATTTCTAGATTTACTTTTTTTTCAAAATCAGCACATTGACATTGACTTCTGTCTAATTAGTAGCCAATGTACAAACGCTTATTAACAATTATTGACCAATGATTACCATCAATTAGCTGAAACGTCACATTACATGTACAGCGACGTCATATTACAAAGTGATATCAGATTTTTTTCTATATCAATATACATAATAATTTATGTTACTAGTATATGGGGTTATGTATACAGTGTATATCTCGGAATGTACTATTGGTAAAGAACACTACAATTTTTTGTAATAAAGATTATTAAAATGACTATTTATAAGTGATATATATATTTGAAAAAAGACTTCAGTAGTAGTACTTTTGTCGGTGACCTGTAATCATGGCATTAACGACCTTGTTATTTACTCTGTAAAACTCATTCAAATAAAAACCCATAAAACATATTAAAGTTTCCTCATCAGACGACACTTAAGTTATAGCCTCGTTTTGAGTATTAAAGACCAAGCACCGGACTTATCGGTTAATCGGTAGTAGTGTTTACTTCAACATTCACTGTACACATAAATAACATAAATAACCCTACTTGTACTTTCACCTTATTTCATATCTTTTCACAAGCACACCTAAAAGCTTGCCAATTGACTTTTGAATGTTTTATGGTTGCCCGTATTTTATGCCCATATTGCAGGAAAAGTAATAAACGAGTTATTCTGGGTATAAGAATTCTATAGAAAAAAAACATAAGCAAAATGCTTCAAAACCATTAATTTTAAAGGAAAACAGAAATGGTAGGCAGTTTATATTTTGTATATTCTATATTTAGTGTACCAGTACTCAAATATATCCTATTTTGGCAATTATTGAATTGGCATTATATCAAAAGGACTAACCGAAATATATCAACTTCTCTAATTAACAGATGTAAATACATGTAGATCACACTGCGACATCTTCAGCAGAAGTTTCATTGAATTTCGCTATGCGTGATATATTTCATTGAACTTTCTTTTCCCTTCTTTAATTACTATTGAGTTATATTTTCTGACAAATACATCTACATGTACATATACGTAATTCGTCTATGAAAAATTAGTTAGTCCTCGAGCCTTTTAAAAGATATCACATCAAGTAAAGGAAAATAAGTAAAAGTGAAGCTTAACCTAAATAATTTAGTTATTTTGACAAGGCATGACTCCCAAATGAATACGAGAATAGTTGAAGAACACTATCGCCGCAACATATATTTGGAATAACGTCGTCAATAGGAACTAAAATGCACTTTGATTTTTTGTCTCATTTACCCAATATTGATATATCAATCTCAAATATATAATTAATTAAAGGCCCATTATGCCTCAGAAATTACCTGAACCATCTTTTGCTTCTGTTGCTTTTTGGCAATGAGCACACTTGTAGTGATTAAGTATTTTGTATGGAAGTGAAAATACTACTTTAATTTGTTTACATTTTGCTACTTTTATAACAATAATTTAATTTTCGGTGCTCCTTCTTTCAGGTGATAAGCATCTAACATGTTTTTAAATCATTATTTAAGAAAAAGAAAAAAAAATCGTATCTGGGACAAAGTGCAATATATGAAACGAAAGGTGAACAAGACATATGATAATTGCTGATCAAGACCATGATGAAACCTTCACAACAAACGTAAAATAATAATATAAAAAGAAATATACCAAAATTTCACAAATCAATACAATTTTTCTTTTGAATAATTTAAAATAATGCATTTCAGCAACTTGTAAGTAACTCTTTCTATTACACTGGGAAATACTGAATAGATTATTATCTATATCATAAAATGCTCACAATATTTCATCTCTTATTTGTATCTATAAATAGAAACTTCATTTTAATTGGAAGAAAAACTAAACAAGTCAGAACATCGCTAAGTCTCTGAAATAGCAATTAATGTTTTGTGTTATGAAAAGATTAGCAGAAAACAAGTGTTTAAACAAATATCTACTCTGAAATACATTATTATTCGTACATACCAAACATTATTAGCATAATCCATCTTTCTATCGAGTGGTCCTTCCATTAAAATGCTACTTCACAAAGTTTTGCAATGTCCGTTTCATTTTAGCGTTTAATCAAGTTTGTTTAAACTTCACTGCTAAACATAAATGATTATGCTTTTAACCTATGTTCAGTTTGAAAGTAAGAAATCCAATGACTGTTTGTTTTGTGTATGCTAATTCGATTGGAACTAAAAATTTGGTGTAAAAAACAAAAGTTGAACAAATCGCTGGTGCATACTTCAGCGGTTTTTATGACCCTCAGTAACTGATACGGGTGGCTTTTTGAGGGGTGGGTTTGACTTTTGCCTGATAGTTTGATTGTATAGGCTGACACACGAACCGACACCTGTTAATACTGTGAAGTATGGTATATGATCCGAATTATACAAAACGATTTTATAGAGTGTTTAATTAGTAAAAACGAATACTTTATTTGAAGCAAATATTTAGAAATATCACGAAAAGTCGAAGGACTTCTATAATTTTGTAAAGTCATGTTCAGTGAACGCTTGACTTCAACCAATACCGCCTTAATCTATATAAACAATTCAATCATATCAATGTAAACATGAACATAATTATGTCATAAATATTCGAGCAAATATTTCAATTATTTTTGCATGTACTTTACTAATCTTCGTACAGAATGATAAAAACGCTACACAGCTTTGATTAATTACAGAAGCCATGTACTTGTATCTAATTTTAACCATAGACCTGCGGAATTTGTGTAATGGTTTGTTTTGCTTTGTTTTTTGTGCACTTAAATTTTAAGGTAGGTCATTGACAAACTATGAAAAGTAAGCTACCAGCAGTATATGTAGAGCCTGGTCAGACTGCCCTGATGAACACACACGTCTGGCTCTATACTGGTGACAAAGGGCGTGAGAGATGTTGTACTCCTTACATTATCTCTTCAATGAACGTACTCAATCAAACCGAGTCTGCAATGACCATATACTGAGTAATTGTGTTGTTTGTTCATTGTTTCAGATCGAATATCTCCTTTCTTGATTTTTATAACTTTCGGTTCAAGTTGGTTATGTACGGTGTTCCGTTTGGACACGTTTGGACAATCGTGACATTTTATTTATTCTGTACCCGCGATGCACGATGGTACGATGGTGAAAACGCGATGGCACGATGGTACGATGGTGAAAACACGATGGTACGATGGTGAAATCACGATGGTACGATGGTGAAATCGCGATGGCGCGATAGTACGATGGTGAAAACGCGATGTTACATCGCGTTTTCACCATCGTACCATCGTGATTTCACCATCGTACCATCGCGTTTTCACCATCGTACCATCGCACCATCGCGCCATCGTGTTTTCACCATCGTGCCATCGCGTTTTCACCATCGTACCATCGCACTTTCACCATCGTACCATCGCGATTTCATCATCGTACCATCGTGATTTCACCATCGTACCATCGCGTTTTCACCATCGTACCATCGTGCATCGCGGGTACAGAATACAGAAATCGCGATGGCACGATGGTGAAAGCGCGATGGCACGATGGTGAAAACACGATAGCGCGATGGTGCGATGGTGAAAACACGATGGTACGATGGTGAAATCACGATGGTACGATGGTGAAAACGCGATGTGACATCGCGTTTTCACCATCGTACTATCGCGCCATCGCGATTTCACCATCGTACCATCGTGATTTCACCATCGTACCATCGTGTTTTCACCATCGTACCATCGTGCCATCGCGTTTTCACCATCGTACCATCGTGCATCGCGGGTACAGAATAAATAAAATGTCACGATTGTCCAAACGTGTCCAAACGGAACACCGTAGTTAT